TTTGTGCTAAGGAATCACTCTTCTCATGGCTCAGTGGATCATATGGGGTGTTGGGTATTGAACCAGGGTCAGCTCTCTGAAAAGAAAGCACGTTACCTTCTTTACTACCTCTCTCATTTTTTAAATTAAAGCTAAATAACTCTATTGTATGCATATATAAAATTTTGCTTATTAGTTCATTCATTAGTGATATTTGGGTAGCTTTCACTTTTTGGCTGTTATTGACATGCTATGAATACAAGTGTGCAAATATCTCCTCAAGACCATGTAATAAGTTCTTTTGATATATTCCAAGAAGTAAGATTAGTGACTGATAAGATACTTTTTAAAAATTAATTCTGGGAAATTACATACTAATTTTCCATTCAGTCACACAGTCTTAGAATCTCAGTAACAGAACAAAAGTGTTTCAATTCCTGCACAAATTCATCATTGTTATTCTTACAGTATTGATTTTAATGGTTATAAAGTGGTATTTATGGTTTTGGTTTGCATTTTTCTAATAGTGCTTTTGAACATATTCATACGCTGTGTGGCCATTTAAATGATATTCTTAGTAAAAGAAATATCTATTAAAGTCATTTTTCCTATTTTCTGGTTTTTCTTGTGTGTATAGTAAGAGTTCTTTGTATATATATGTTTTTCATTTTTTTTGAGGGGGGGACACACCTGGAGGTGCTCAGTGTTTTACTCCTGGCTCTACATTCAGGGATCACTTCTGGTGGGCTTGGCGAACCAGAAAGAGTGCTAGGGATAGAACCCAGGTGGTCACAGGCAAGGCAAAAGCCTTCCCTGCTGTATTATGACTTGCCTCTAACACATGTTCTTAACATTAATCCTTTATCAGATAAATGATTTACAAATATTTCTCCATTCTTCTATTTATTATATGTTATCAGAAAATTTTAAGTTTGATGTACTTTAATTTGTATACTATTGTATGCAGACTACTGTTTTATGTTCTGTCTCATTGGTACCACATCCAAAATAAAATCATTTCTAAATTTAATGTCATGAAGCTTGTCTTTCATGTTTTTTCCTAAGGCCTTAATAATTGTGCTATCACATTTATATCTTCAAATGGATATATAAAATGTCTATACACATTTTAAGTTAGTATTTACATATAGTATAAGATAAAATTTCAGTTTCAGTGTTCCTAACACCATTTATGAAAATAAACTGCCCTTTAAATACTCTTTATGACTCTCATTCTTCCAAAAAGTATTTAAAATTTTTGGTTTCTTTTGGGCTGCACCAGTGGTGCTCAAGACTTCATCTTGGCTCTTTGCTCAGGTTATCTTCTGGAAGTGCACAGAGAATTTTTAGGGGTGCCTGGGATCAGACTTTGGTCATTCTCGTGCAAAGCAAACACCTTCATCCCAGTAATTCCTCCTTGATCCTGGAAATTACATTATTTATTAATGCTACTATTATAATATTTTGTTCCCCATACTGATAATAAACAATCTACAGCTTCATACTTTAAATGTTCTTTATGTAATATATTTAAATATATTACTGGTAAATATATATAATAAATTTATTTTCCTTACAGTTTATTATCTTGTACATTTATTTACTTGGCCCTGAAAGAGCCTCCAATATGGCAGTGTTGGGAAGGATGAGTAAGGAGAGACTGCTAAAATCTCAGGTCTGGGACGAATGGAGACATTAGTGGCATCCGCTTAAGCAAACGGATGAACAATGGGAAGGCAGTGATACAGTGATACAAACTATTTACCTTGGTTCTTTTTATCCATCAAAAATATCAACAGAGGATTGTATAGATTTTACTAGACTGTCACAAAACTTTGTTGACCTTAAAACTATTAAGAATTCAAAAACCATTTCAATAACTTGAGCAAAATATGAAGTAAAGAATAGTGCAATGGAAATAAGAACTAAAGTAAAATCAATTAATAGGCAAAATCAACTTGATACAGTAATTTATTAAATGCCAATATTTAAGGGAAAGGTGAAACCCAATAATGGCCATAGAGTTTTGAATTTGGTTTGTTTCTGGTTAGTGGTATATAGTTGAGAAGTAGTGAAAATTTAGATTTTGCATTTAAGAACCAGAAGTGTGCCTAATATCACCCATGGGGTGAAGGCTGAATAAATGAACACAGGATAACATTGTATGAAATCAATATTCCAAGATGAGCATTTTATTAGTATCACCAGTGTCATGCAGCACGCATAGTATGTCTACAAATAGAATCACAATGTAAAAAATAGAACTTCAGCAAACAATTGGTGGTTAAATTACAGAGGACTGTTGGCCATGACCCTACTCTGCATTGATAATTTTGCACCTGCAATTACTTACATGCAAAATCAAGCTCAGCAACAGTTGCCTAATTATAGGCATAAACACCCGAATTTGCCCTCAGAAAAGTAGCACAAAGAGATGCCATCTGTAAAAATAAATCAAACCCTCTCAGATCTATTCCATATCGTATGATGCTGGTGGGCACACTTCCCTTTGGGTGCCTGGAACTTGACTCTTGCCTATCTCATTCATGCATTACATGGTAGTCACTAGTATTCTGAGAGTCAGCAGTCCACTTAGCTTACCTAATTATTTTTATCCAACCCAAATATATAATGAACTATAGCCTCAGAAGATAGAAAATGGAATAATCTCTGATGCAAGCATTGTCTTACTAACATTAACAGATTCAATGTTTTATTTGCATGGAACTTTACAAGGTAAGCCATTGAACTAGGTCAAAATAGTCTCACACAAAATTATTTTCAAGGATAACACAAATTTTGTTACTTCACGTTTTAAAAACTGTTTCAAACATTAATTATAAATTGTTGTTAATTTGAACCAAATATATTTAGATGTTTCATTACTACAATCAGTGCCATTATGACATTTAATGTTTATCTCTTGAAATTTGATTTTATATAAAAATAATAAATACATAACATAATAAATACCATATCAAGTAACTTTTGAACTTAAAGAGATAAGATTTCAAGAGGTAAATATATAATAATAGATGAGAAATATAAACTCCAAGCGAACACTTGATAACATTTCTGTTCTCATTACAAATTTCAGTAATAACAAATAAGAGAACACAGCCTTCCTTGTGGAAAGAAAACAATTTCCTGAACATTTTAAAAATTTAATAATATTTTAAATGCTTTTTAAAGCATGTTTAGCACTCAATGTTTCAATTCTAGGTAGCATAAATAATACACACTTTTTGTGTATTATTAGATCATCAGATAGTTTATTACAATAATGACTAAAATTATCATATAACATACACTTCTTTCTCCATTAAGGTTATAATTTTAAAATTTTTCATGACGTGTTACTATTAAGATTTTTGGATAAAATGAAGGTTAAGGAATTTTAAAATAAATAAAAGTTTATCTACTTATTTATTAACTTTTGGGGCCATAAGGGTGGTACACATATGAGTTATCAGGGGACCATGTGGTATATTTGGGATCAAATCTGAGGTTCCTGCATGCAAAATATGTTTCATCCCTTTAATCTGTTTCATTAATATAACTTTAAAATTTACCTTTTAAAATTTAATTCACTGTCACTGTCCTCCCATTGTTCATTGGTTTGTTCGAGCGGGCCCAATAATGTCTCCATCACAAGACTTGTTGCTACTGTGTTTGGCATATCAAATACGTCACGAGTAGCTTGCCAGGCTTTGTTGTGCAGGCGAGATACTCTCGATAGCTTGCAGGGCAAAAATTTAATTATTTAAAAAAATATGTGGGCACATGCAGTTGAGCTCCAGGGACACTCCTGGGTCTGTGCTCAGGAATTACTTCTGGTAATGCTCAGGAAACCACAGAATGCTGGGAGTAGAACTAGATCAACCATAGGCAAGGAAAGTGCACTACCCACTGCAGTCTTTTCTTAAGACTTTAAATAATTTATTTTAATTTTTATTGAATGATCTATTTATTTATTCATTTATTTTTCTTTTTGGGTCACACCTGGTGATGCACAGGGGTTACTCCTGGCTCTGCACTCAGAAATTACTCCTGGCTGTGCTCGGGGGAACAGATGAGATGCTGGGAATCGAGCCTGCATTGGCCGCATGTAAGGCAAATGCCCTACCCGCTGTGCTATCACTCCAGCCCCGATTTATTTATTTTTAAAACTTTTATTGAAATATAGTGATTTGCAAAGTTATTCAAATTGGGTTTTACACGTAAAAGTTTTCAGCTTATAAACAGTATAATTTTGTTCTACTGTTCTTTCCAGTCGTACAGTTTACAGAATTGAAATACTTATTAAACTTCAATCATTCGTTAACGTTGAGCTCATAGACAATGGGGCATATTTGGGACTTTGGGTATATGATGAAGTGATATATATTTAGAAAGATATGTCATATTAAAATTGGAAGGAATGGGGCCTGAGTGATAGCACAGCGGGTAGGGAGTTTGCCTTGTACGCAGCAGACCCGAGTTCTATTCCCAGCATCCATTATGGCCCTCTGAGCACCGCCAGGTGTAATTCCTGAGTGCAGATCCAGGAGTGACCCTGTGCATTGCTGGGTGTGACCCAAAAAGAAAATAATAATAATAATAATAATAATAATAATAGTAAGGTAAAGGTAAAGGTAAAGGCCCTCCCGTTGATCGTCGATTTGCTCGAGCGGGCCCAGTAACGTCTCCATTGGAGACTTTGTTGTTACTGTGTTTGGCATATCGAATACTCTCGGTAGCTTGCCGGGCTCTCCGAGAGGGGCGGAGGAATCGAACTCGGGTCGGCCATGTTGGCCACTTGTAAGGCGGACGGCCTACCCACTGTGCTATCGCTCCAGCCCAATAATAATAGTAATAAAATAAAAATAAAATTTTTCCAAAAAGAGAGTTAATCAGACATCTACAACTAACAGAATATTTCAAAGGAAGAAATTGTAGTTAAAAATTATTGTGGCATGACAGATATCAATTTTCAAAAGAACAGAACAGTTTCAGGTATTGAAAATAATAATGTTACTCACATCCTGCGCTACCATTGGTCGACACCAGGGTCAAGTTGGAAGGCCAAGGATTCCGAACAATATCTTGCCAATGAATTGTATCTGCATAACAAAGGAATTTGTTCTGGTCTACATAAACACCACCATTTAGGATTTCTGTATAAAAACAAAAAAAAAACCAGAAATTGATTGTCATACTTATTGGTAAGGCAGTCAAAAAATAATTATTTCAAATTGCTTTTAATGTTAAAGTTGTTTATTTGAGTCAAGTTAACTTAAACTATATTTTACTGACTCATATTATATCAATCGGAAAAACTCAGAAAGCCCAAATCACACACAAACAAACAAAAACTCAAAATTAAAAGACAGGAAACACTCAATATCTTGGTATATATTGCCACTACCGGTCATCTTTTTACTTCCTCTGATATTGGATTAATACTGTGTTCATATATTTTATAACACACTAGCGTTGCTTAATATTTAGCAACTGTTTAATGCTAATTAAATGTTATTCTAATGTACGTGTTCTTGGTCTCGGGGGATCCATCCATGGCAGTACTCAGAGCTTACTACTGATCAGCACTCAGGAATCATTCCTGGTAGAGCTCAAGGGCAGCATGTGGTGCCAAGGATCAAACACGAGTCAGCCACATATAAGACAAGCACCTACCCACTGTGCTACTGTCTACCTCTAAACATATATACACTTTAATATATTATACATGTTATGTATAATATGTACTATAAAATATATAATACTATACTTAAATATATCTGTCTGTCCTCCCGTTGTTCATCAATTTGCTCAAGCAGGCACCAATAACATCTCCACTGTGAGACTTATTGTTACTGTTTTTCGCATATCGAATACATCACAGAGAGCTTGCCAGGCTTTGCTGTGCGGGCGGGATATTCTAGGTAGCTTGCCGGGCTTTCTGAGAGGAGCAGAGGAATCAAACCTGAGTCAGAGGCATGCAAGGCAAATGCCCGACCCGCTTTGTATGCAAGTGTATTTGTATATTTCTGTGTGTGTCTGCTTCTATGTGTATAATCTGTTGTGTGTACATTTGTGTGTTTGTATATGTCTATGGGCATATATGTGCATTTCTGTGTATGTGTTTCTGTATCTGTATATGTTTGTGTAAACGTGGGTGTATGTCTGTGTATGACTGTATGAGCATGTATGTGTGTTGATCTATGTGACTATAGGTCTGTGTGTGGGCATGTGTGTTCATTGGTGGGCATCTATTTGTGTGTCTGTGTATTTGTGTATGCATATGCTCGTCAATTTACATATCTGTGTGTCTCTGTGTGCATGTGTGTGTCTGCGTATTCATCTGTGTGTCTGAGTGTGTGTTTGTATATATTTCTTTGTATGTACGTGCTTATTTCTGTATCTATCTGCATATGCATGCATCCGTATTTCTATATATATTGGTGTGTATTGTTGCATGTGCCCCTCTGTGAGTTTATACCTGTGTTTCTGAGCATGTGTCTATTATATGTCTAAGTCCGCATGTGCATGTCTTTTGTCTGTGTATACATATGACATTTCTGTATATGTCCTGTGTTTGTGTGTGCACTGGGAATGTGTCTTGGTGTATGTCTGTGTCTTTGTGTGTGCATGTGTGTGGTATGGGTATATATGTCTGTGTGTATGTCTTTGTGCATATGTCTGTGTGTATGTCACTGTGTCTGTATTTGTGTCTATGTGTGTGACTGTGTATGCCTGTGTCTGTGTGTGTCTCTGTGTGTGCATGTGAATGTGAGTCTGTGTATTTGTGTTTGGGTGTCTATCATAAATATAATATATATACTTAACTCTATGCTAAAATGTAAATCAAATAGGTTCATCTAAATAACCCCTTCTTATTGCTCATTTAAATAGCTCATCTGATTAGTTATTTTTTGGGGTGCAAGTTGGGGCACAGCTGGTGATGCTAAGGCTTGTTCCAGGCTCTATGTCAGAGATCACTCCTGGCAGAGCTTGGGGACCATATACAGTGTTAGGGAAAAATAAATCTACACTGCACGCAATGCAAACACCATACCCCATCTTCTCTCTCCCCCACCCTTCTCTCTGTTTCTCTCTGTCTCTGTCTCTGTCTCTCTCTTTCTATCTATCTCTCTTTCTCTCTCTGGCCCTTTGATTATTGGTCTAAAATGATTTTCCATAAAAGGTTGTTCAAGGTCACAGAATGTGTCTATTTTTAAGATTTTTGTACAAGTTGTCAAATTTTATTTAAAGAAATAATAGGTAAAGGTAAAGGTAAAGGTAAAGGCCCTCCCGTTGATCGATTTGCTCGAGCAGGCCCAGTAACATCTCCATTGGAGACTTTGTTGTTACTGTGTCTGGCATATCGAATACTCTCAGTTGCTTGCCGGGCTTTCCGAGAGGGGCGGAGGAATCGAACTCGGGTCGGCCATGTTGGCTGCGTGCAAGGCAAACGCCCTACCGCTGTGCTATTGCTCATACATGACACTAATTGTAGTCAGCAGGTACATTATTTGCACAAAACAAGTTAAATAAAACTAGCTAAAGCTTCAATCACAAAAAATATTCTTTGTTATCAGAAAGAATGAATAAAGTTACTACTTTTTCCCCCAGAACAACACAAAACATGATATAAAAACAAAACAAAAACCATGGTTCACTAGAGCAATAAATAAAATTTAGCTATAGGCTAAACTGCACTAAAAGTAATTTTAACTTGATTCTTTTTTTTGCAACATTGGTCTTGGTCATCTAACTTCTCTTTCCTAAACAATGGCTGATCTCTTTCAGATACTGTTAAAATACATAAATATAAGGCAAGATAGTAACTTTGAACTACAATTATGATTAAAGAACATCACTGGAAAGGTATAGAGTAACTTTCTCCACAATATTTACCACATTATCCCTCTTATCTAATACAAAAACAACTAAAGAGAAATCGTGGAGTATCAGTTCATAAAGACTTCAGTTACAAGTTCCTTCTGGGGGAAAATAATAAATTATAGCTGACATGGATAGGATGAACTTTTTCTCACACAATATGAAATCGAAAGAACGCAATTGTTGAAACTGGTTCAACTGTTTTGTAGGATCTAAGGTTTGCTCTGCCATCCTCACTGGCCTGGCTTTACTTATTCCAGACACAATATGGCAAACACTCTATAAGGGTCTGTTCTAATTCTAGGAATGCTGAAGACAGAAGAGTAAGCAAGATGCGGACTCCTAATGAGACATGGACTTTTTCTCCCTGCAAAAATATATCTATGTTTTGTCAGCAATATCCTATGGTCATTCTTAGCCAAAGAGTGACTGAGAAAGGACATATTTGGGTGGATATATACTTATTCCAATAAAATAACAAATAAGAAGAGACGTTAATAAGGAAAACAGACATATTTATCTAAAATAAGTAGTCAATTTCTTTCAATGGTAGCACTGTAGCACTGTAGCACTGTCCTCCCTTGTTCATCGATTTGCTGAGTGGGCACCAGTAATATCTCCATTGAGACTTGTTGTTACTGTTTTTGGTATATCAAATACGTCACAGGGCACTTGTCAGGCTTTGTGGTGCAGGCAAGATACTCCTGGTAGCTTGCCGGGCTCTCCGAGAGGGGTGGAGGGGTTTAACCCGGTCGGCCACATGTAAGGCAAACACCCTACCAGATGTACTATCGCTCCAGCTCACTTTCAATGGTAGCCTTGCAAAAATAATTTCTCTAGTATTGTGTCTCCAGCTAAAGTTTTTAGTGTCACCTTAAAGACAGAGGGAGATAAAAGCATGAAAGTAACATGTGAGAACCATAAAAGGGGTATTTGAGAAAGCAAGATTGGTGGGTACATCTAAAGTGCCTGACTGTATTGCATGTATAATAGAGAAATTTTGACATCACAGGTCTCTTCACATTTTAAATCACTGCTATTTTCATCATCAATTATTTCACTGACTCTTGGTTTCATATTCTCAGATGGGGAAAAATAAAACAGAAACAAAAAGAAATTAGATCATCTTTCTACTTCTAAATTCCAGGACATCATTTTTCATGGCCTAACTGTACAACCTTCATGAATGCAGAAAAGAGATGTAAGATGTAAGAAAGATTGTGAAAATGGATTTTTACATTAACGTCTGGCATTAAGCTTCTACCTAAGAAATGTGATGCTTTCTTACTAATAGCTTTCTCATGAGACATTAGGTGGTACTCTTCTGCTCTAGGAATAATTCTTCATTAGGTGACAAAAAAAGAGAGAGAGGGAAATTTTGACGGCTATCCAAGAAATGAAAGTTATTTTTCAGTCTACATTTTGAAAATTCTACTTAAAAAATGTGAAGAGAATAACGGTAGCTCAAAACATTGTGAAAAGTATCTGTATTTTTTCAGGAGTCACATTTTAATTCAAATAGCGAGAGTGTATGCTGTAGAAACACAGTATCCATCTCCAGCTTCCTATCTGAAAATATTCACATAGAATCCAATTTTATTATACTGAATAATAATCTCATCAAATCCCTTTCATCAACCATATTAATCTGCTACCAATGTTGAAATTTGTTTCTTAGAAATATTGTGTTCAATAGCACGGTTTACACTTGGAAAAGGGATTTAGAAATGAGGCGATAGTAATTCATGTATGATCAATCTGGATGATATTTTTTATTCTTAGTAGAAAGTCAAACATCTGCTTTAGGGTCTAATCAGAAACATTAAAGGTAGTAATATTTGATGACAAATTGTCTATTTTTTCTTTCTGTATATATCCCTGGAAAATGCATATTTTGTTTATAAGGTATATCCTAGTTTATATTTTTGATAAACTGAATTATTCAAGGTATTTTTATGAGAATAAAAAGTTAAAATCACATTTATTCATTTGAAAATTTAGCATTACTTGTTGATATTGTTAAATATTATTTTTATATGTCTGTGTATATATACACTAAGAAAATTCTAAAAACAGTAGTGATCTTGATAGAAAGCTATTTGATACAGAAAATTTACTGCACAAAATAATACTTAATATTTCTTCCTTGTTTGTCTATATGGAAATGATAAGATTTTCAGATTAGAAAGACATGACTAGAAAGAGATAAAAACTTAGTAGGATATTTACTCAGGAAGATATCAGAGAAATGTCTAACTTAACATTAAATTTA